AAAAAAAAAAAAAAAAAAAAAAAGAACAAATATGGGTTAGGAGGGAAAATAAGAAACAAGTGTCTAATATAGACAGTTACTGCAGCTATAAAGTGTAACCTGCTGGCTGGGGTCAGAGGTACAGGGGAGGGAGACGGGAAGATCCAGCAGAGACGGCGCGGGCGGCCCCGGGCCGATCCTCCTCCCGCTCTCGGGACTCGTCCTGACGATAAATCGGTGTCGAAAGGTCCGAGAGCCCTTGGGAACCGAACAGGTCTGTGAACAGCGACTGTCCTCGCGCTCCACCAACCCTCCCCCTGGGGATCCGGATACCCGGAGTAAGGCCATTCTGCTCGGTCTTTTGAAAAAAATAATAATAGATTTAAAAAAAAAAAAAACAACACACCAAAAAAAGCGCTTTTGCTTAAAAAAAAAAAAAAATTAGCTTGTGTCGCATCCACTTTGAAAGGCTGAAGTGGAAGGTGGGAAGAGACTTGGCTCTGAAACATCAACTAAAAAAAATAATAATAATCCCTTTCTACACCACTACATTCTTTGTTTCCTTAGCAATCATTGCTAATTAGTATAGAAACCCCTTGCACTACCACAAGGGCAAGCTTTAAATTTTTTTTTTTTTTTTAATATATATAAAAAAGAACGGGAGGATTCTAACCCACCAGGAACACGGGGAAAAGTCACTTCATTTCTTTAAAAAAAAAAAGCATTTAGTGAAAATAAAGATCGGTCCAACATCTGCTCCGAGATTCCTGGAGAAGCGTCTGCAGCCAGCGCGGCGGCGCCGCGGGGACACGGCAGCAGAACAATCCCTCCTGTCAGCTTATTGTTTTGTTTAAAATCGGACTCAAAACGCCCCGGACTTTTGCGGAGGCAGAAATCTGTCCCGTTCGGGGAGGAATTTCAGGTTTGAAGCCGCCGGGAGCACCGGTGTCGACCGCGGCGGGATATCAAAAAGAGGGAGGCGAGCTATAAAAACGGGAAGGGTTGACACCGGGCGCCCGCGGCAGGACAGAGGGGAGCGGAGCAGGCTGGGTTTGGTCCGTTTGCTTAAGAAATACTTTAAAAAAAGGGTGCCCCTGACAAAGATCTCCCTCCTCCTGCGACTCCCTGCTTGGCGGGGAAGGGACGAAAGGGTTTAGTTTAAAAACCGCGGGACAAAGTCACCCGAAACCTCCCCGACGTCCGACAAAGCTTCGCAGGCTCCGAGTCCTCCGGGCACCGAGCTCGAGCCCTGCTCGGCGCCGCCTGGGGCGGACCAAGAGCTCGGCCACGGCCGGTGCCGCTCCCGCTGCCCCGCTCCGCCCCTCTCACCTGGGATACTTTCTGGTGAAACACTGAAAAAAAAAAAACCAAACCTATTCATTTAAAAAAAAAAAAAATTAAAAAAATTGCCGTATTGCAGGACTAAAAAGAAGTGATATGACTGAATTCAGAGAAACATTTAAATTAAAAACTTGTTGAAAATACAAAATAAAACCACATCGCTCTGTCGCAAGCTGCCCCAGCGAGGCTCTAACGCCCGTTTCCCGCCCAGGAACTCCGAGGAGTCGCCCGTTCTCGCAAGGTCTGTGGCGTCGGCAGCGTAAGCGGCCAACTCCCTGAAAGTCAGATCCCTTTTCCAGAGGCCTTCGGCCCACGCGGAGCAGCTCCTCCTCCTCCTCCCGCCACCCTCGCAGGAGGAGGACAGCGGGGACACAGCGGCGGGCTCTGCTCTAAGGAGACTTCCAGGTGTCCGAGGCTCAGCTGCGCTGCCTCGGTCTTTGTTAATCCTATCCTGCTAAGTCTAGCCCAGCCTTCCAGCTTTTAGGTTTCTGTCCAGAGAAGATTACTTTTTAAAAAAAAGAAAAAAAAAAAAATCAGCAACAGGGGCTGAACGTTTGTCAGACTCCACAGACCACGCAGAGCACAGAACAATTTGCTTCCATCGCAGCGGTTTCGGCGTCGCCTCACTGTGGAGAGAAGAGAGGGGAGATGCTGGAGAGCGCTCTGCCTTCCTCCGAGGAAGAGCAGCAGGTCTCCCGCCCCACCCCGGCCGAGGGGGCTGCCGAGTTCAGGTTTACCCCAACCGCCGTCCCACACCGACAGAGGAGGGTCTGGGAGTTCATCGCCAGCTCCGTCCCGTCTCAGCCCCGCGCGGGGCCCTCACGAGGGGGGACGCTCCCTGCTCCGCCTCCCGCGCCCGAGCGGGGCCGAGCACGAGGAACACCCCGCGCCCGCGCAGGGGAGCGAGTACTCACAAAGCTTATCTCCGTCTCTTGCAGGTCTTCGAGCTGCTCTCTCAGCTCTGCGGAGCGCTCGGGTATGGAAGGCCCCGGGGAGCCGCTGGGGAAACAGAAGGGGGGAGACCTGTAAAGCAGTGTTTAAACGGGAGCCGTCAGTGAAAGTCTCCTCTCGGGGCTGCCCCCACCCAACGGGGCGTCCCGGCGGGCGCAGAGGCGTTTCTCAGGCAGGTTGGACGCGGAGGCGCAGGCAGCACAACCCTGCCGGGGCGGCACCCACAAAGCGCCGCCACGAAAATCATCCCTCGGAGGCCCACGCGACTTCGGAAATTAGAAATGAGGATCTTGCGTGCGGCCAAGCAGCAGCACCTCCTCAACAGAAATCTTCAAGCACCTCGTCAGCACAGAAACGGTCCCGGGCGAGAACAGTCCGGAGACAGAGAAACCACGGAGCACCGGAGCTCAGCACGTCTCGGCCTTTTCAGACGGAGGCGCCCTCGTTCAAAAAAGCACCCGGCAAACCTTTTACAAACCTTTTACAAACCTTTTACACCCGGAACACGAGCTAAAGCAGGGTGCACGCACGGGCACGGCGAGCGCCTGACGGGACACGTCGCCGAGGAGGAAGGTGGGGCACAGGACAAGACTCGCCGGGGTGCAGCAGCACCCCCTCATCTCCCCACCTCTTCCAGAGGGGCCACGACGCGCTGGCTGCGGGGCTCCAGTCCCCAGCTTGGGCCTTGCCCCGTTCCGGCAACTGCAGCGGCTCTCCTCGGCCCCGGGGCGAGAAGCCAGGTCCGAGGGTCTGCGCTTCCCCCGGCCAGGCGGGCAGGGCTCCCCCGCGCCCCGGTGACTGGCAGCGGTTTCAGGAGCGCCTGACCCGCTCGGCCCTCCCGCAGCTGCCCCCCAGGGCTCGGGGCTGTTCACTCACCCCGGATCAGCACCCCAGGGGGGACACGGGGCTCCGGGC